TAAATTATAAAGATCAGAGCAGAAATTAATGCAATTGAGACTAAGAAAACAATACTAAGAATCAATGAATCGAAGAGTTGGTTCTTTGAAAGATTAAATAAACCTTAGTCAACCTTATTTTAAAAAAGGAAAGAAAACCCTCAAATCTACACAATTAGCAATGAAAAGGGTGAAATCAGAAAGAAATCCAGAAATTCATTAGTACCTATGTTGAAAACGTATACTCTTAATAAGATAGAAAATGCAGAAAAAAAGGACAGAATTCTAGATACAAATAAATTACCAAAGTTGAATGATGAATATATAGAAATTCTAAATAACCTGATATGGGCTGAGGATTTAGCTCAGTGGTTCTGCTACCTGCTTCAAAAGCTCAAAGTCCCAAGTTAGATCCCTGATACCAAAAAGAAAGAAGAAAAAAAGATACTGCTAACTAAGCCAGTACCAGTCAATGAAACAAAGTAATTTTTAAAAAACTACCAACAAAGAAAAGCCCAGGTTCTGACATCACTGCTAAATTCTACAAGAAATTTAGAGATCTGTCACTACTCAAACTTGCTAATGAAACTGAAAAGGAAGCAACACTCACAAATTCATTCTTCAAAGCAAACATTACCCTGATTTCAAAACTGGAGAAGTATGCAACCAAAAAATATAGGACCACAGGCCAAAATCCTTAATGAACATAGATGCAAAAATTCTCAATAAGATACTGGCAACAAAAGGCAGGCAAATCATCAAGAAGATCATACACCATGACAAAGTAGGATTCATCCCAGGGATGTAGGAATGGTTTAACCTACATCAATCAATAAATGTAGTGTACCACATTATACAGAACCAAGGACAAAAAACATGATCATCTAAACAGACTCAGAAAAATAATTTGACAAGGCCCAACACCCATTGATGATAAAAAATATATAGAAATTGGAATAGAAGGTCTTTATCTTAATCTGATAAAAGCCATCTATGACAAACTAACAGTCAACATCATACTAACTGGTCAAAACCTGAAAGCTTTCACTCTAAAAACTGGAAGATACAAGGATGCCCACTATCATCGTTCTTCTTCATTATAATTCTAGAAACATTGGCCAGAGCAATTAGACAAGAGAAAAAAAAAAGGAATAAAGATAGGTAAAGGAGAAGTTAAATTATCATTATTTGCAGATGACATGATCCTCTACATAAAAGACCACAAAAAGTACACCAAAGGATGCCTAGAATTAATAACCAAATTTGGCAGTGTAGCAGGAAAAAAAGCCAATGTTCAAAAATCAACAGCATTCCTATAAACAAATAACAAATTCAATAAGAAAGAAATTAGGGAATACTTTAACAATAACTTTAACAATAGCATCAAGATACATGAAAAATACTTAGGAATCAATCTAGTGAAGGAAATAAAGACCTTTACATTGAAAACTACAATATTCTGCAAAAGGAGGTCAAAGAGGATATCAAAAGGTGGAAAGATATCCCGTTCTTGGATAGACAGAACCAATATAGTAAAAATGGCCATACTTCCAAAACTGTTATTCAGATTTAATGCACTCCTGATCAGAATACCAATAGCATACCTCACAGATCTACAGAGAATAATCTTAAAACTTACGTGGAGCCAGAAGGGACCTAGAATAGAAAAAAGCAATTCTGTGCAACAAGATCAATGCAGGAGGCATCACAATCCCCAATTCAAAGTTATACTACGAAGCTACCATAATAAAAATAGCATGGTACTGGCAAAAAATACAGACCTAAAGATGAATGAAGCAGAATAGAAGATGCAGAAACAACTCCAAGCACACTCAACTACCTTATCTTTGACAAAAGGTCCAAACCCCTTTACTGGAAGAAAGATAGCCTCTTTAATAAAAGGTTCTGGGAAAACTGGCTTTCCTCATTCACAGATTAAACCTAGATACATATCCTTCACCATGCACTAAACTAAAATTGAAATAGATCAAAGAGCTACACATTTAATCTGCTAGAAGATAGACTAGGTAAAACTCTTCAAGAAACAGGTATAGGCCAAGACTTTATGGACAAAACTCCAATTGCATAGGAAATACTACAAAGAATAACCAACTGGCATCATGTCAAATTAAAAAGCTATTGCTGGGCCAGGGATTTAGATCAGTGGTGCTGCTGCCTCACAAGCTCCAGGTCCCAAGTTCAATCCCTGGTATAAAACAAAACAAGACAAAGAAAGCTATTGCAGAGCAAAAGAAATCACCAGCAGAATAAAGAGACAACCCACAAAATAGAAAAAGATGTTTACCAACTACTCCTCAAAGGACTAACATCTAGAATATATAAGGAACTAAAAAAAAAAAAAAAAAAAAAAAAAAAAAAAAAAGAAAAAAAGAAATTAAACTCCCAAATTTAAAGACCCAATCCAAAAATTGGCATCTGAAATGAATAGATACTTCTCAGATGAAAACATACAAACAAATAAATATATGAAAAAGTACCCAACACCACTGGTCATTCATGAAATGCAAATTAAAACCGCTGAAATGTCATCTCACTCCAGAAAAAGTGGCTATCATCAAGAAATCAATAACACACTGGCAAGGCTATGGAGGAAAAGAAACCCTTTTTTATTTCTGGTGGAAGTATAAACTCTTACAACCACTGTGGAAATCAGCATGGAGATTCCTCCAAAAAACTAAAACTAGAGGTTCCATTTAACCTAGCTGTTCCCCTTCTAGGTTTCTTCCCAAAAGAGTTAAAAGCATCATACCCATAGAGACCCATGCCTACCTATGTTTATAGCAGCACAATTTATAATAGCTAAATCTTGCAAACGGGCCATATACCTATCCACAAATGCATAGATGAAGAAAATGTGGTATTTACACACAGTGGAATACTATTCTGCCATAAAGAAGGAAAACTTGAGTCATTTGCAGGAAAATGGGTGTACCTCAAGATCATAATCTTAAGTGAAATAAATTGGACATATAAGTTTAAACATTGCTTTGTCTCTTATGTGAAAAACCAAAGGGTAAATAAGAAGCATAATGGAGGATATTGGGAAGTAGGAAGAACATGTTCAAATGGGAAGGGGAACAAGTGAGTCGGGAGAGAGAAGGAAAGGAGGGGAAAAGGAAAAAAGAGAATGGGAGGAATAAAATGGAAACAAAACTTTTGTAAATGGAGGGGAGAAAAGGGTTGAAGTGAGGGGAAGGGGATGGAGGAAAAAGAATTATCAGGTACAAGTACAAGTTCCCTATGATGAATGTGATCTATATGTGCGAAAAATATGTACTAACTTAAAAATAAAGTTAAAAAAGATACTTAGTTTTAACTTGCATTTGTGAATCACTTGAGGTTAAATTCTTGACTATTTCATTTCCTTTGTGAATGTAATTGTTCATTTCTCTTGCAATGTGTTGATGTTTTATTGATATGTGTAAGTTCTTTATAAAATATGAATCTTGTCTGCCATCTTTATTGTGCATATTTCTCTAGATTTGATTTTTGCCTTTGACATTCATTCAACACACCTTTATCTAAGGCGCTCCAGTGTGACAGGCACTGCTCTAGTCATCAAGGATGAAAGAGACACAATTTCTGCCATTTGTGATCTCACAGTCTAATGGAGGAAGCAGGCAAGTAAGCAATGAATGCAATAAAATAAAGCTTTCACATCAGAAGTATAAATAGCATATAGTAGAGGTACTAAAAGAGATGAGTGGACAATCCTACATAGAAAACCCTTCACAAAGAAGATGTTTCTTAACTAAATATGAAAAGTTGAGTAAATTACTGAAGTTTCAAGGGACAATGTGAGAAAATGCATTCCAGGCAGAGCATCCACAGACAGGACCAGAAATCTGGTTTGTAAGGGGACACTTTCATAGGGGTATTTGTTAGGGAATAAAATCTCAGGCAATTCCAGAGGATCAAGAAGAGAGAGGGTGCCACCATCTGCCTTGCAAGCACAAGGTCCTGAGTTTGATCCCTAGTATGGGGGAGGGGGGGCTCAGTTTTTAAAATTATACCTAGCAATAGGGTTTTTGTTGTTGTTGTTGTTTTTTGAGACAGGGTTCAGACTTCTCTGGAACTCACTGTGTAGCCCAGGTTGGTCTGGAACTCACAGCAATCCTCCTGCCTCAGCCTCCCGAGTGCTGGGCACCACGCCCGGCAGCAATAGGTTTTTAATTGAAGTCCAATTCTTCAATTTTCCTTTATGAACTATTACATAATATTTAAACTACAAAAGTCCCTCCTGAACCTGTGATTTGGTTCTTCCTTTTATTTTCTTCTAGCTTCCACTTTTAATAGTTTGATTTTTTTAGAATTTTTACTTTACATTTAACTTGAACTCACCTAGAATTGACTTTGCTATATGATAGCAAGAAGCCTCATTTGGACCTTTTTGTTGTTCTTTTAATGTTTATATCTATATTGTTCACTAAGCTTTTTCTTATAAACTTAAATATGAGTTTAAAAAGAGGGTAGTGGGTGCTGAATATCTAAGAAGGATATCTATTGCCAGATAAAGACAATGCTAGGGGAAAGAAAAGAAATTTCACTTGGATTTGCTTTCAGTATTGAAATACAAAACTTACCTGGGCCGAACACTAGGGGGCAGACTCCCAGCAATTAAGGTCTGGGCTCTCAAAGTGTACTACTGCTACTTTATATTCATAAATTACATTTGTTTGAAGAGCCACTGTATTTATACAAGCAGTAATTTATTTTTATGACAACTGAAGGAGGGCACCGAGGAACAATAAGTAATTGTAAGATTGGTTTGTTCGCTCCTACCTGGAATTTTAGGTAGAATCAGGTTTTCTCCCCTGATGTGGCCTGGAAGGTGAGTGGGTTTGGCACTCCCGCACTTTGCTGGCCAGATACTACCCATGAACCGGGAGCTGATTGGCTAAAAAACTGAGAGCAACCTGACCAGATTGGGTCTGGACTCCTCACCGCCCCCCCCCGTTGTTACTTCACGGCATTCTGAGGCCTGTCCACCAATCACAAGCCTCCTTCTTGGAAAAGCCAACTGCTAGAGCATGCCAAGAGTCCCTAGCAACACCCTACAGCTTTTGAAATCAGGGAGAGAGAGAAGAGAGAGAGGGAGGAAGGGAGGGAGAGAAAGAGGAGAAAGAGAAACTGTGAGAACTGTGGAGTCACCTGTTAGCGGGCAGGCGTGCCTAAGCCTGAGCAGGGGCAGGCTCTCAGGATGGACACCCCACCCCCTGGCGAAACCTTAAATAAGCACAGTGAAAAACTGAAACAGGAGGAAGAGGAGATGGAGTTTAAGGAACTGGATGGGCTGAGGGAATCCTTGGCTAACCTCCGGGGACTGTCTGAGGAAGAGAAAAGTGAAAAGGCAATGCTCCACTCCCGCATCCAAGAGCAGTCCCAGCTCATTTGCATCTTGAAGCGGAGGTCAGATGAGGCCCTGGAGCGCTGCCAGATCCTGGAGCTACTAAACGCAGAGCTGGAGGAGAAGAGGATGCAGGAGGCGGAGAAGCTGAAAGCCCAGAGCAAACATGCCAAGAACCTAGAGGAACGGTTTATGACCCTGGCAGCCAACCACGAGATGATGATTTGCTTCAAGGATGAACACAAGAGTGAGAACATCAAACTGAGGGAGGAGAATGAGAAACTGAGGCTGGAAAACACCAACCTCTTCAGCCAGGCTCTGAAAGACAAGGATGCCAGAGTATTGCAGCTCACTGTCAGGAGCGAGGCCCTTGCCAAGGAGCTGGAGGCTCTGAAACAGAGATGTGCTCAGGATGCCATCCAGACACAGGTTCGAGAGAAAGAGTTGCTAGAGCTTCAGAGTCAGCAGACTTGTGCCCATGCCAAAGAGACAGAGCAGCTGCGCAGCCAGCTGCAGAGCCTCAAGGAGCAGCACCAGCAGGCTGTAGAGAAGATGACAAATGCCCAGGAGACACAGAATAGGCTGAGCCAGGAGCTGCAGGCCAGGCTGCAGACCGTCACACAGGAGAAAGAGGAGCTGCTGCAGCTGTCCATGGAGAGGGGCAAGGTGCTTCAGAACAGGCAGGCGGAGATCCGCCAGCTGGAGCAGAAGTTGGAGACAGCAGATCTGGCCAGGAGTCATGCTCTAGAGCGGTTTGAGCAAGAAGCAGCGGCTGTGGACAGCAACCTGAGAGTCCGGGAGCTGCAGCGCAGGGTGGATGGGCTCCAAAATGCCTACAATGAACTCAGGCTGCAGTCAGAAGCCTTCAAAAAGCATACCCTGGATCTTTTAAACAAAGAGAGAGAACTCAATGCCAAACTACGACATTTCCAACCATAAGGAAGCCTCTGCTTGTCCATCCCGCTAATAATCCCAGTATGTGTACCCTTGACACTTTGGCAAGAGCAAAGATGATATTCCTTGTATTATACTTGTAAGCACAAGAGGCAACTTAAAGAAAAGCTACTTTACTATGATGTTGTTGTTGTTATTGTAAAGCTAACGCCAGCTTTTGGTTTTACTGCCAAGAATATATAAGATTTGCCAGCATTCTTTCTGTACCTTTGAAGTCTTCTATAATTGCTATCAGTATTTTTCCTACTCCATAACTTATTCACTCAACCTCATATGTCTTAATATATCTCAAGATTTTAAATAAGCAAGTTCTATGATTCAAGTGAATCTAAAATACACAATGAGATGTGTCACTATGAAAAAAAAGCATCACAGTTAACCACTGTGGATATGTAGGCTTATAGTCAGTCCCCATAGTTGAGATTGTAAGCGAATAGATAAGAGCATAATTAATAGCATAAGTACTTTGCAAAAAAGTATCTGATTTTATTTTTCATGAGCTATGAGAACAAAGATTTGGATAGATTTATTTACCAAATAGGCTAACTTCATTATAATCATTCCTATGAGCAATAAGATTAAAGTAAGTTAAATCAACCATTTTTTGTTTTCCTGAGACCTTAGATAATACTATGTTCTTTATTGTCTCCATATGACAGGATTTAGATATTCAATGATGCAAGAATTAGTAGTTTCACTTAATAGTGCACAAATATGCTGACAGAGAAAAGACCTCAATTTGGGGTAACAAGTAATAGCAAACTTGGTATAATTTATATAATAATTAATGGCAATTGTTTTCTGCTTTCAATGGTATATATTCTTATAATTAACTTTTCCCTTTTCTAAAAAATAAGCTAAACATATATATATTTAATGATATGTTTGTAGCAGTACTTCAGTTTTGTAGAAATTGTTATAAAATATTATAGTTATATATATTTACACAAAGTTCTTACAGAAGTAAAGTTCTTAAAGGTAATTGTTAAAATATACTTTATATTTCCTTATTTTCTTGTTTTTAGTTATTAATATATAAACATTATTATGAATGTCTCCTAAAATAGATTGTAACAGTTTTTCTCACTCATTTGGTGCAGGCATACCCAGAGTTACAGAACAAATTGGATTTACTAAAAAAAAAAAAAAAAAAAAAAAAAAAAAAATTACTTGAGGTTTTTTTAAGTAAACCACTTCCAAGCAAGTGTTACTTCAGGCAATTTGTTTAATTTACTTTTTATAATTCTATTAAAATTATGCTATTAAATATAATTTTTAAAAAACCAGAAACCATGTTGCTGGCTTCAAAGGACTCCTTCTTAACAGTTTACAAAGAATCAGAATATAAGAACTAATTTAGTCCTGACATCCTTTACTGAGTCTGCACTATTTATCGTTGTGCTGAAGCTACTTGGAGATACTGTTTTGCTTAACACTTAGGAGTATTCAAGAAGGTAATTGTGTTCATTCCTATTCAAAGAAGAGGAAATTGGGTTTCAGTAGTTTAAAGCTACTTGGTCAGCGGGGAAGCTGAGATTTCCTGCTGAAATTGTCTTTCACACAAAAAAGTAATTATTAGCTACTGAGTACCAGGCCCTGGGGTAAGCACTGAGAATAAGCATAAAGATGGCTTCCCTGCCTTGGAAGGCATACGGTGTGGTGTGCTTTCACAGGAAGTTGTGTGTGTTTTCACCGTGGGTGTGAGCCAGGTGTCTAACTCCACCTGGAGATAAGGGTGGGTATGGTGGAGAGGGCTGTCAAGGATAACTATCATGTAAGTCGGTTCTTGAACTAGTATAACATTATCAAGTGGTGAAAAGAAAGAAAGGGTTGTGTAAAAAACATAGAGATTTTTTAAAAAATGCCCACAATACTTAGGAAATTAGAAGTAGTTTGGAAAAAGATACAGAAAAATGTGACTACAAATTAAAGACTAGGTTGAGGCAAGAATATAGAAAACCTTGAGAGCCAGGCTGGCCTCTTATATTGAGAGGAGGGTGATAGAGGGCAGAGGAGAAACATAAGCCTACAAATGGAAAGCACAGTCCCAGTCTGTCTCCTCTTCCTACCCAGGTGCAGGCTATACTCTATGAGGGGCCTGTGCACCTATGTGCTAACACAGTGTCTCCTTCCTCCCCGCCCCCTGTCCTAGTATCTTAGATGGAGAAGGGTGCTTCTGAGGAGGCCAGGTGGGAATACATAGAGGGCAGGTGCATGTTCCTAAACCATGGGTACAAAGGAAAAGGCCCAGTTGCTTTAGCCATGCAATATCGCTCAAAGCCATGCTAGACAATTTGTATAAGATTGAACCATATAAAATTGATTCTAAGTGGTCGACATGGACCATTTTGTAAAGTTCCCTTGAATATCATGTTTGAAAGACTTTAAAAGGAAAATGAGAAATGAGAAAAATCAAAGACCAATGCTTAGAGAACAACTGAGGAAAAGAACCCACCAACACAGACTAAGAAAGTAAGAACATGTACCTATCATGCTTTTCATTTCACCCTCATACCAACTCTTCTAGGGAGTTTTCATTATCATCTGTATTACAGATGTAACAAGTGAGACTCAGAGATGGTGACTTGTGCAATGTGAAATTTGAACCAGAGGCCTTCAAGCAAGGCTTCATAAGTGTGCCCCCTACACAGGACCCCACACTTGGTTTAATTCTTAATTTTTAAAATAAGGGGTCTTACACTTTCCTTTTGTGCAGGACATTGCCAAATAAGCAACTGGGCATGCTTTCTGGCTCTAAAATCCATGCTTCTTGTTACCACACAAACTACCTCCTAAACAGTCATAAAAAAGCATTTTTTCCCCTCCGTGCTTCTTGTCACCTTGCATACACTCTCTTACTGATCATCTTATACTTGATCCGCGGCCCAGAACCACGCTCCAGGATGAGCAACCATTTTGATTGCCGTGGTCTGCTACTCTATACAGTGATGCTTATCACTGGAACAAATTGGTAAGATGTAAATTTGCCCCTTCCAATCCATTACTTGAGGCAAGAAATCTTAAAACTAAACTTCTTTCCAAGGAAGACCTTTATAATTGTTGGATTTGCCTACAGAAGCCACAAACAACATTCCTAAAGTGAAAACAGAACAGAGATTCTAAAACTAAATACTAGCAATGTGTCCATAGCCTTGTATAGCTAAGTGCAGTCTGTCCTAGGATCACTGCAGGAGAAGGCTTTTGATATGCCTCTGAAGAAGAAGCCTGGTTCTAAAAATTATGAGCTCTTGAGAGCTATAAGAAAAGTGAACTAACTAATGTTTTCAGAGTACTCACCGTGTTTCAGTTAGTGGAAATGAATTCTAATTTGTTTTTAGTGAGACAGTTTTAATAGAAAACCTGTGTCTCTCAATTCCACTGAACTGCAGTTAAACTTCAATTATTATTTAAAGAGCATCATTTGGAGGAGTATTTGGCCTTCATCGGCCTATAGTTGTGGAGTAGCTGTGGGTTAGGCCTGGAATAATTCTTTCCTCCTCAGTATGACTAAACCAAGAAAACTGAGCAGACCCTTGAGATCCCATCTATTAGCCCACAAAAGAAAAGTCCACAGTTCTGACTGCCCTCCTAAAAGCTTACCCTGCTGAACCAGATGGCTTGTCTTCCAGCATTTAATGGTCACAACTGAATGATCTAAAAGTACCTCAGCCAAGCATCTTCATAGAGAATGTTTCTATGTTTAATGTAGAGTAATCAAGATCCATGCCTATGACAGGAATGAGGGCAGTCTGTGCTCCATAACGAAGAGATTACCCGAGAAAGGTAGACCACTGCCAGCACGGGTGAAGGGGGCTTAATGTTCAGTGAACCTCTAAAAATGTCTGCTGTGCTGCATTTGCTTCGATTGCCAGATTCTTATCAGGAAGGAAGCATCTTTATATCTTTAATTACAAGTATTGAAAACTTGTTGGACTTTGGGGGAGGAGACATGAATAGGCTTTTCTAATTATGCTCTATCCATAGACAAACAATGTTATTTTCCAAAGACTAAAAACATTAAATTCAAGGGCTTGGGCCTATATAAATGAATCTCTTTACTTGACGCTGTTCTCTTCTAAACCTTCTTGTTCCACTTGGATAAAACAAATTCAAGAAAAACTTTCCCTTGGAAAATTTGCCTGGTCATTTATTATACATTTACATAACTGCATTACCCCACAACCTCTTCCTCCTCCAGGAAGACAAAGATACTTCTGCCTTTGGTAGTTGCTAGACTGCTCCTACTTAATGCTTGAATCCACTCTTATTTATACTAGTCTAAGATAATTTTCCCTACACATTCAAGGTTAGATACTGTTTGGCTCTTAAATGTGCCCCCATAGGCCCATGTGCTAAGGCTTGATCTCTAGGGTGTTGCTGCTGGGGGTTAGTGGAGGCTTTAAGATGTGGGGATAAACAGGAGGACTTTGGGGCATGTTCTTGAAGGAGAATGTGAAACCCTGATCCTTTCCTCTTTTGCTGTTTTGCTCCCTGACCATGAGATGAGTGATTTTATTCTGCTACATGTCCTCACCATAAAGTGTTGCCTTGCCCAGATGCTACAAGACCAACAATCATGGACTGAATCCTCCGAAACTGTGAGCCAAAATATACGTCTTCTTTTTTATAAGTTTATTATCTCAGGCATTTATTATAGTGACGTAAAGTTGACTAACTCAAAATTATTCACCACATTGTTTGTAATATAAAAAGATTTAAAATAGCTTACATATCATCAAGAAGGAACAGGTTAACCAAATCATGGAACCTTTACTTTTGACGTACAGTGCAACTGCGAATGAAAGGGAAGATTTTTGTGTATTGATATAAAAATATCTTCAGATATATGTTTTTAAAAAACGAGTGGAACAGGGTCAGGGATTTAGCTCAGTGGTACCACTGTGTGCCTCACAAGTGCAAGGTCTTGAGTTTGATCCCAGGTACTAAAACAAAACAAAACAAAACAGTGGAACCATATCAATGATATATGTTTTCTTTTGTGTAACAGAGAGAGGAGAAGAAGGGAATAAGAATGCAAGGATATTTACTCCCATATGTTTTAACACATATTGGGACAAATACTAATGAAAGTGGTTGTTAATGATATGGTGAGGTATAAGGAATAAGGAGATCAAAACTAGGTGTTTGAAGGAAACTTCTCTATTTTTTTGGTACTGGGGATTGAACTTGGGCCCTTGTACTTCTGAGGCAGGTGGCAAAACCACTGAGCTTAATCCCCAGCCCAAAACATCTTAATATCTACCATTTTTATATAATTTTACTTTTGAACTGTAAGACTATATTACCTATTCAGAAATAATAAAATTGGGCTGGGGATTTTGCTCAGTGGTTCTGCTGCCGGCCTTGCAAGCACAAGGTCCCGAGTTCAATACATGGTACCAAAAACA